CTTGACTCAATTATCTATCTCTCTTCAATCATGCTGGTTTTTCTTGCCAGGCTTATATACTAAAAAAGAGGGCATCTAGCAAACACTTGGACATTCGCAGGGTTCCCCAATAATTCTAGAAACTCCAGTGTGCATGCTCCCAGCATCACGCGACTTCCGCTGTCATAACACTGCCCCTTCCTTAGTATTGTTCGTCCCAAACAATAGCCACTTACATTAAACCAACAGATAATTAACAATAACTTAATTAAATGTACAGAATTTACAAACACAAAATTAAAGTATCTTCTTCCGTACTGGTCTCCGTCTCATTGGCTTCTGTTTCACGTGGGGTTCATCTGCTCCATCAGGAAATGTCCCATTATCGGTAGCAGTCACATTAGTGGTAGTAACTTCATTAACGGCTTCACTGTTTTCTTTCTCAAAACCAGGTAGAGTTTCTTCTTCGACAGTGGCTTTTCCAGGTGACACGTCCTGGTCTTTTGTATGCCAAACAACTTGCAGCATTCATGGAACACAGTTGATTCAAAGTTATGGCCTTGATCTGAATGCAGTTCGTATGGCATACCAAACCTGAAGAAGAAATCACTAATAGCTGAAGCTACAGTTGGAGCTTCCTGATTTGGTATTGCATATGCCTCAGGCCACTCAGTGAAATAATCCATCACCACACAAATGTACCTGTTTCCAGCATGAGTTTGGGGCAATGAACCAGCAATGTCAATAGCTACTCTTTCCATTGGTGCATCAACTTGATATAACTTCATTGGAGTACGTCCCTTATGCTTGGATCCCCTTTTAGCACAACATGTACTGTAGATCCTGCACCATTCTTCCACATCTTGCCTCAAATCTATCCAGTAAAATCTCTGCCATAGGTGATTCAATGTCTTCTTAACTCCAAGATGTCCTATCATGGGATTGACACAGCACAACTTCCCGTAACTTTCTCAGCATAACTGTTTGCCAGGTCGTCACTTTCCCATCTGCAGACAAGTATACCATCTTCAAGCTTCAAATGGTCCCATTGTGCCCAATAGTTCTTTTTCATAGGGCTTAAGCTTGATACTTTCTCCCAAGCAGGGCGCAAAACACTTACTTGCAGAAAATCAATTATTGGCTTTAAATCTTGGTCTTTCTCCTGTTCTGCTTTAATATCTATACTTGGCTCCACTTCACCATCATCAACTCCTTCAGTCACTTTGACTTCAGCTCATGGCACTTGGTTATTCCAACCTCTCTTTTAACACATACTGGAATTTGGCCTTTGTTGTTCCCAAACGTCATTTTATCAAAGTTAACTACACACATCCTCAGTAGTAAGTAGTCCAACCCTAATTTACATGGGTCTTCAATGTCAACCAAGTATACTTTGTGTCTGTCCTTTATGCCCATGAGCTCAGTAGTTACCCACATTGGTCCCCACAACCTTGAATAATGTCCTATCACACCACAGAGCTTCTGTATGGCTTCTGGTACTCCTTTGTGATCTAGCACCTTGATACTCACAAGGGTTTGCTGAGATGCAGAATCTATGACAAAGTTGCACTTTTGGACATCCAGCTTTCCTGTCACATAGACATTATGTGTACTTGCCATTTTACACTTAGGTGTTGGGACTTTCATTGTGGGGGTTGTTAGGCATACCTCAACATGAACCACTACTGGTTTTCTCGAGGCTGATTTATTGGTAGTATTCTTTTTACATTGGCTCCTCATATATCCTTGCTCTCCACAGTTCTAACAACCTTTCTGGCAGGAAGAAGATAGAGTTCGGCACAGTCAAAGAAGGGAAAATGAAAGAGTAGAGGAGAGGCAGGAAGAAGATAGAGGGAAACGGGTGCACTGATTTCGATGAAACTTTTTTTCTTTGTTATATACATGCGTGAGAAGGTTATAGGCTACTTGGATTTTTGGAATTCACCTTAGGGCTCCGCCCCACGGGTCTTCAATGTTCCAATGTTATTCTTATGGACATTTTTTTTGTTTTA